GGTCCCTAGCTAGGAGGGTTGGGCATGACGTTAGCGAAACCATCCTGTAGAAAATCAACTTGCTAAAAAAACGCTAACCAGAACAAATAATTCAGGTCATTTAAACTCTGCCCTGGGAGTTATAAGATCTTCATTTAGATGATTTATGACATCTCGTAACGTTAGGCGAGTTTCTTCGGAAGTCGCGAAGCTGATGCCCCTTCTGACAATGAGAGCAACCGGTAATATAAATTCAGGAAGTGTCCGAACAATATGGTGGACCGGAAGAACCAGTCAAGTTGCTGCGGAATTGAAATGTTACAACCTAGCGGTGCTAAAAATAAGTGAAACACACAGTATGCTGGCTGGACAAAAAAAATAAGATTCGGGAGAGATACCACTTTGAACCTAACGTAACTTTAAGATTAAAGTGTCCTCTTCGACATCCCACCATTTACAGGAAACAATCCAGTTTTCGACCCCAGATTGGGATATTCAATCATTCCCGAAGATACAAACTTCGTCTCCATTCACTGCAGACAGTTGAAGTAACAACTTGTACAAATAATATCATTACGAGTTCGAACCACTGTGAAGTAGGTATAACTGTCTCGATCAGCTACTCTCTTTCTAGTTGCATCGGCAGCATACACACATTCATTCTCTCGCAAACACATGACCCGTCTAAACCTTACTGGATCAATGAGAATTTCATTTCTTTGACGGTCAACAATAACGTTGCAACTTTTAGCATCTTTCAGGTTCTATAGTGCATGGATTCATTGTCACTATGAAACTGCAGTACCTAGGTAGTACTATTATTTCATGCTAATTCACACCTGTACGTGGTTTTAGTGTATTTGTCCGCAGTTCAGAATCAATGAGACAGAAAGATTAGCATCAGCAAAGCCACTTGCCCCACCAAAACTGAATCCAGGAATTCCCCAAAGTAAATTGAATTCGCCAAGCATAAAACCGAACAAATAGTCAACACATTTAGCCGCAACCCGAACAAATACAGCAATGAAACTGACGGTTGTTCTACACTCCCCAATAGTTATCAGTAGTACAAA